TTTGATCTCTTGAGTGATTGCCCTGGTACTTGTTACACAACAAGTACTATGTTGTGTAAAGGTAGCAAAAGCAGATACCCTTGCTTGTTCCTGATCTTAGGGCAGCCATGGGCAAACTACGGCCCGCGGGCCGGATCCGGCCTGTTTGAAATGAATAAAACTAAAAAAAAAAAAGACCATACCCTTTTATGTAATGATGTTTACTTTGAATTTATATTAGTTCACACAAACACTCCATCCATGCTTTTGTTCCGGCCCTCCAGTCCAGTTTAAGAACCCATTGTGGCCCTCGAGTCAAAAAGTTTGCCCATCCCTGTCTTAGGGGAAAGCACTGAATCTTTCTCCATTACATTGGAGGTTTGCTGTGGGCTTTTTACAGGTGTTCTTTATTGGGTTGAGAAAGTTTCCTTCTACTGCTGATGGCTTTTACCATGAAAGGGTGCTGAAATTTGCAAATGCTTTTTCTCTATTTGAGATGAACATGTGGGTTTTGTCCTTTGTTCTATTAACATGGTATATTATATTGATTTATTTCCAGATGTTAAGCTAACCAATTCTGGAATAAATTTCACTTGATCATGATGTATACTCCTTTTTATATATTGCTGGATTTGTTCTGCTAGTATTTTGCTGACGATTTTTGCATGTATATTGAGAAGGGATACTGGTTTGTAGTGTTCTTGTGATATCATTGGTTTGGTATCAGGATAATACTGGCCTCACAGAATGAGTTGGGAAGTGTCCCTTCTTCTTTTATTTTTTGAAGGAGTTTGTGAAAGATTGGTATTAATAAAAAAATAATTATTAAGGAAATTTTCAAATGGCCCCAAATAGTACAAATGGTAAATTTATGAATCCCCATGCATCCTTCCACTCGTTTCAATAATTATCAATATTCTACCACTCTTGTTTCACCTCTACTTACTTCCTAATGCCTGATTCTTTAGAGCGTGAAATTACTTTAAAGAAAAAGACTTCATTATAAATATTTGTAAAATATATATCTTTAACAGATAAAGACTTCTTTTCTTTTAATATAACCAAAATTTAATTGTTTCACTTAACAAAATTAGCAATAATTCCTAATGTTTTCTAATACCTGGTCTATGTTCAAATTTCTCCAAATGTTTCAAAATAATTTTTAGAATTACTATGAATCAAGACCCAAAGAAAGTCCAACACTGTATTTGGTTGATATGACTTTTATTAACAGTCCTCTCTCTCCCTTTCTCCCCCATGCCATTCATTTATTTGATGAAAAAAACAACAACATAAAACAAGGTCAATTTACTGTGTAAAAATTTTTCATGTTCCATGTTTGGCTCTATCCTCATGTGTCTGTTTAACTCATCTTCTATCCCTTATGCTTCTCTGAAACTGAAGGTTCGATCTAGATTCAGGTTGCTAGGAACTTACTTATAGAAGACACAATGTCTGGCTGTCCTACTTTCAGTGTTAAGATTGATCTATGGCCGAAACCGGTTTGGCTCAGTGGATAGAGCATCGGCCTGTGGACTGAAAGGTCCCAGGTTCGATTCCGGTCAAGGGCATGTACCTGGGTTGTGGGCACATCCCCAGTGGGAGATGTGCAGGAGGCAGCTGATCGATGTTTCTCTCTCATTGATGTTTCTAACTCTCTATCCCTCTCACTTCCTCTCTGTAAAAAATCAATAAAATATATATTAAAAAAATTAAAAAAAAATTGATCTATGGTTTCAGGTGCAATCAGTCTGATCCATCGATACTAATAAAAGAGTAACATGCTAATTAGACCAGACGTATTCCAGACGACCATCTGGAAGTCCTTCCGGACAAAGCCTGCAGGGTAAAGCTGCCCTCCAGCAGTCCCCAGCGCCAGCACCAGCGTCTGCAGCTGGCTGCAGCCCAGGAAACGGAGAAGCCGCCCACTCCGCGGTCCCAGGCCGCAGCCAGCCAGAGAAGCCACCCATCCACCCTTGGTCCTGGGGGAGATGGAGAAGCCGCCCGCCTGAAGTCCAGGTGCCTGTGCCTGAGGCTGGCTGCAGTCTGGGAGATGAAGAAGCTGCCTGCCCCGTGGTCCTGGGCTGTAGCCAGCCGGACTACCCACCTGCACAGCGTCCCGAGGGAGACGGAGAAGCCTCCCGCCTGCAGTCGAGGCGCCAGTGCCTGAGGCTGGCTGTGGCCCAGGAAATGTAGAAGCCGCCCACCCTGAGGTCCCAGGCCGCAGCCAGCCGGAGAAGCTGCCCACCCCACAGGCCGGGCGCCAGTGCCTGCTGCTGTGGCCAGGGCGAAGCCACCTGCCCACCGTCCTCTGAGGCTGCAGCCGGCCTGGGTGAAGCTGGCCTGGGTCCTGGGTACCTCTGGCTGGCCAGAAGGAGGGAAGCCTGGTCCTGGGTGCCTGTGGCCGGCTGGAGGAGGGAATTCTGGGTCCTGGGTGCAGGGCTGAGGCAGAGATGGTTAGGGGCAATCAAGCCAGCAAGGGAGCAGTTAGGGGAGACCAGGCTGGCAGGTGAGCAGTTAGGAGCCAGAGGGGTCCCAGATTGGAGAGGGTGCAGGCCGGGCTGAGGGACACCCACCATCCCCCACCCCGCCGCCCCGTGCATGAATTTTGTACACCGGGCCACTAGTCTATTATAAAATTCTCCATCAACCTTTTATCTAATGGTTTTAGCAACTACCGACAACGTGTATGACAAAGTTTGCAACATGGTAATTTTCTAATTCTTCCACTTCCTCTAAGGATAGGATTTTTTTTACTTTTATAATTCTAGACTCTAGGTCTATGATTCCAAAATTAGGATGGCACAGCCTTCAGGTGCCAATTGTGGAAGCTCTGGGGTGTTTTTGCTTGTCATAGTGTCTGCAGAGTCCTTGTGGCATTAACAGACAGAGGTCAGATGCTGCCTGCTCTACAATTCACAGAATCCTACATAACAAAGAATGCAATGCATCCCACACAACTTTTGAAAGTTGTTAGACATTAAAGGAGATGCAAAGCCTACATAAATTATCTGAGTCCAAGACTATTTTACATATGAACACAAAGTATTTTTCATACTGGTCTAATACAAAATTTTCCAGGAATATAACTGATGTAATTAAGAAACACTGTCCATCCATTATTTTGTTTGCCATTCTCCTATGGGCTGTTCACCATTTCAGAAAAGTCATGTTAGCAATAGCAACACAGTTTATATACTCAGTTGCTGACATGACTCATCTGTATGCGCCAGCTTTTGTTGCTGTCAAATTCAAGATAATTCCACATACAACAGCAAATATCTGACTATGTTTTCCAGTGAAATCTTGCTCAGGCATCTAAACAATGAAATACACATTATCTTATTATTAACCAGAGGCCCGGTGCAGGGGAGTAGGAAAGGGGTGGGGAGGGGTCCCTCAGCCCAGCCTGCACCCTCTTGCAATCCGGGACCACTGGCTCCTAACTGCTCATCCTGCCTGCCTGCCTCATCACCCCTAACCACTCTGCCAGCCTGCTTGATCGCCCCTAACCACTCTGCCTGCCTACATGATCACCCCTAACTGCTCGCCTGCCTGCCTGATTGCCCCTATCCACTCTGCCTGATTGCCCCAACCACTCGCCTGTCTGCCTGATCGCCCCTAACTGCTCGCCTGCCTGCCTGATCGCCCCTAACCGCCTCTGCCTTGGCCCCTGGTGCCGTGGCTTCATCCAGAAGGACGTTCGGAATGTCGTTCGGCTATCCAGTCTAATTAGCATATTACATTTTTATTATTATAGATTATTCTCTTTTTATTTCTCATTTATATTATAGTTAGAATTTTATACCAATTCTATTTGAAACTGAACATTTGGTAAGTAACAATATCTATGAATTCCACTTTGAGAGAGTAAAGGAGATTTCACAGAATATTTATTTTGAAATGGGCAGTGTGTCCAAAATAACTAAATTATTATCTACTTAAGGTCTAAAAATCTCCTCCAATTTGACTGCTGCCCAGGCCTTATTCTGAAATCTTGCCACCATATTCTGGTTACATCACAGCCAGAGTATTGTGCTGGGTGTGAGGATACCTGGACCCCAGCCCTGGCTCTGTCTCTTTACTAGTGGCTCGTGACCTTACAAAGGTCATCTTAACTTTGTTCCTGTCTGTAAAATAAGAATGTTAGACCAGATAAGCTGTTACAGCCTCTCAACCATTTTTTATTATTCTTTACTCTCCCACAGGACCCAGTATTTCTGAAGATTGCCAAAGAGACTGCCAATTATTACTTACTACAATAATTAAATCAATTTCCCATAAAAATCTAATCAAAAGTATATTAATTGCCAAAGAGAATAAAATAACAATGATAGTTAGCACTTAATGAGTGTGTATTATGGCCTCAAAGTGAACCTTCCTCCACCCTGCCAATCCTACTATTACTACTACATTGTGGATTCCAAATTGGAAAGTGCGTCTCAGCCAGAGACTAGTCTCCCTGGTCCTTCTCTCCTCCCCTGGAGCAGAAGTCTTCAGCCCTGAAGGCTGCTATGCTCATCTGCAAAGGTCTTGGGCATGATTTGTTCACACACCATGCTGTTTTGGAAAAGTTCTGAAGTTGTCAAAGGGGTCAGGGGACTCCAATAAACTGAAATAGGCAAGACACTGGGACTACATCCTCTATGGGACAGTACTTCTGCATCTTTGCACTTTCCCAAAAAGCCTGTCCAGGGCCCTGCACACACCAAGAGCTCTGGCATCAATAACTGAAGCACCTTGGCAGCCACGTAGGAGTATGCACACAAGCCCCATGGGCACTGACCCTGGGGCTGACTCAGAGGCTCTTTGTGGACTCCATAAAGGGGCAGGCAGCCTTAAGATGCTGGGTAGTTAGGTGACTAGTGGCAGCACAAGAACTCACTGCTCTACTTATGTCTTCTATCTCCATACACTAGGACTCTGACAAATCTGTTGAAGACACATAGGGGCCAGTGAGGAGGTCATGGCTGGAATCCTTCTACAGAAGCATGGCTGCCCACTGGGGGCTCTATACTCACCAGGAAGGAGGCCGGCTAATGTGTGGGTGCTGTGGGTGAATCCGGAGTGGGTCCACCTCTCTGGCAGTGGCAGGCGGAAACTCCCGATGGGGACTGCTTACACTAGCCTTGTCCCAAGGCTCGTGGAGAGGTGTGATGATTTCAGATGCAATACGAGACCGAAGTTCCTCACTGTTCCTGTAGGTCCTATAGGAGGTAGATGAGGTGTTAACTGCTCGTTGCTGCTTGGCAACCCTTAATACAGTATTTTGGTGGCTGCGACGGCCTTGACAGCTCTTGAAAGTACGCTTAGACTGTTTGCAAGGGTGGGAATGGGCCGCCCAGCGGGCCTGGGCGAGGGGGGCAACAGCCCGAGGTTGTCTACGAGATTTGCGCCTAAGCCTCTTAGGCATCTGAGTTGTCCCTCCTCATTTACCACCCCATTAGAAAGAGGTGAGAGTGTAGGGGCACAGGTCCTGGACTGGCTACTCCTCTGTACCCACCCATCCCATCCCACCCTCAATTATGTGTTCATCATGTGTCATGGGAAGGATCATGGAAGGCAAAGGCTCTGAGGGGAGGATAAACTTGGTTCCTGGTCCAAGTAGGCAGGGCTCTGGGGGCTCAAGGTCTAGTTCTGTCACTAACTCAGAGGCCCTTGGAAGGTTCCTCTGGGCCTCCCTTCTCTGCCAGTGAGAGAGAAGCAATGTGAGCTATAGATGAGGTATTGAGGCAGAGTTGGGTAACAGGTGTTTTAAAATGAGCCATATCCTAGGTCAAAAAGCAAACCTCACAAATGTTAAAAACTGAAATAATATGTTTTCTGACCATATGGAATAATATTAAACATCAACACAGAAAGGAAGTCTCTAGATACATGGAAATTAAGCAACATTAGTCTAGATAATCCATGGATCAAAGATGAAGTCTTGAAAAAATACAAAGTATTGAATAAAAATAAAACATATTAAAATATGTGTGATATAGCTAAAGCAGTATTGAGAGGAAACGTCATAGCATTAAATGCTTACATTGGAAAAAGTGGGGGAAAACATCATAATAAATCTCAGAGGGAAGGTGGGGGTGGGGGTTTAGGAGGAGAGATTAAGGAAAATTCTGACTTAAGAACCTAGAAAATGAAGATCAAATTAAACCCAAAGCAAGCAGTACGAAATAATAAAGAACAGAAATCAATAAAACAGGAAAGTAGTAGAGAAATTTAATTAAAAAGCTGGTTCTTAAAAAAAATGAATACAATTGATAAACCTATTGCAAGATCAGCAAACATAAAAAGAGAAGACACAAATCACCTGTATCAAGAAAGAAATGATATTTTACAACAGCTCTGTTGCTAATGAAAGAATAATAAGAGACTACTAAGAATAACTTAATTCAACAACTTAGACCAATTCTTTAAAACCACAAACTGTAACAACTCAGACAAAATGAAATAGATAATTTGAATATAGTAACTAAATCCATACTTAAGCACCCCCAAAAAGAAATCTCCAGGTCCAGATTATTTCAATGGATAATTCTACCAAACATTTAAAGAATTAATATTTTTTAAAAAGAACATCAATTTATAGTCACTCCCAGAAAAATACAAGAGGAGGAACCATTTCCCAACTCATTTTATGAGGCCAGTAATACCCTGATATCAAAACCAGACAATGAGTACAAAAAAAGAAAACTACTGACCAGTATTTCCTATGAACTTGGATGCAAAAAATGCCCAAAATATTAACAAATTGAATTAAAAATATATAAAAAGAAATATACACCACAGGATTTATTGTAGGTATGCAAGACTGGTTCAATATTACCATATCGATAAGTTAAGAAAAATCAAATAATTATGTCAATTGATACAAAAAAAAATATGACAAAAGACAGTATAGTAAATCTATTCATGAGAAAAACTCTCAACAAACTAGGAACAGAGGAGAACTTCCTCAATTTGATAAAGAGCATCTACAAAAAAAGCCCATAGCTAGCAATATATTTAGTAACGAAAGTCTGGATACTTTAGGAACAAGGCAAGCATATCCTCTCCCACCACTCTTATTTAGCATAATACTGGAAGTTCTAGCTCCTTCAATTTTGCAACTTAGAAATTCACACATGAAACCTACATGTGCATGTTGCCCAATGTCACCCCAGTAAAATTTAATTAAAAAAGCACATTCAAACCTGAAAAAAAAATTAAGCAAGAAAAAGCACACAGATTAGAAAACAAGAAATAAAACTGCCCCTATTTGCAGATGACATGATAGTCTACCTTGAAATTCTAAAGGAATCTATAAACTCCAACACTGTGAGCTCACCAAATATTTAATATACAAGACAGCATATAAGAGCAATACACAAAAATAAACAGCATTTCTATATACAAACAATGAACATTTGAAAATCAAAATTAAGAAAGAACTCCATTTATGATCACCTCTATTCCTGCCCCCCAATAACAAAAACATGTTCAGATTCTATGTTTAAAATTACAAAATGATCATGAAAGTAACCTAATTAAGACCTAAGTAATTGGAGACATACTATGTTCATAGTAAAAGTGTCAAGTTTCCCCATCATAGGTTTAACGATCAATAGGTTTAATGCAACTTCTATAAAAATTCCAGCAGGTTTTTTTATAGACACAAACTTATTCTAAAGTTTATACAGAAAGGCACAGACCCTAGAATAGCTAAAACTATCTTGACAAAGAAGTGAATGGAGGAATCATTCTACTCAATATTGAAGCTTACTATGTATCTACAATAATCAGTATTGTGTGAAGGGGCAGAGGGATAGACACAAAGATCAATGGAAAAAACAAAACAAAACAGAGAACCCAGAAATAGACCCACACAAGTACAGACTACTGATTTTCGACAAAGTTGCAAAAGCAATCCTATCTAATAAAAGAGAACAATGGTAATTAGCGTACGACCGCTACCCTTCCCATTGGCTAATCAGGGCGATATGCAAATTAACTGCCAGCCAAGATGGCGGCCGGCAGCCAGGCAGCTTGAAACTAACATGAGGCTTGCTTGCTTCAGTGACGGAGGAAACCAACGTTCCCTGCCTGCCTTGCCGGCCTCTGAGCCTGCAGTTTGAAACATTGTAACAAATATAGAAGCTAAACAAAACCCCAGAAACCTGCTTTCAGTGAGCCGGGATCTCAGAGCTGGAGTTATATATTGTTTCAATTATAGAACCCAAACAAACCAGATACCTGCTTTCAGCAGCAGAGGTCTCAGAGCTGGAGCCAGAGCTAAAGCTGGCCCAGAATAAAAAAAAAAAGAAAAAAAGGAGCAGTTGGGAGCTTCAGCCCTCAGCCCCTCACCCAGACTGGCCAGGCACCCCAGTGGGGACCCCCACCCTGAAGGGTGTGTGACCAGCTGCAAAAAGCCATCATCCCCTCACCCAGGCTGGCCAGGCACCCCAGTGGGGACCCCCACCCTGATCCAGGACACCCTTCAGGGCAAACCAGCCGGCCCCACCCATGCACCAGGCCTCTATCCTATATAGTAAAAGGGTAATATGCCTCCCAGCACCGGGATCAGCGGAGCCGAGAGGCCTCCTGGCACCGGGATCAGCGTGACAGGGGGCAGCGCCCAAACCCCCTGATCGCCCTGCAGCTCTGTGTGTGACAGGGGGCGGGGCCACAACCTCCCTATCCGCCCTGCTCTGTTCGTGACAGGGGAAGGCACCCCAACCTCCTGATCAGCCCTGCTCTGTGCCTGATACAGGGGAGCTCCCCAACCCCCTGATCGCCCTGCGGCTCTGTGTGTGACAGGGTGCGGCGCCCCAACTGCCTCTCCCCCCCCATGGGCCCTGCTCTGTGTGTGACAGGGTAGAGCCATAACCTCCCCATCGGCCCTGCCCTGAGTGTAAGAGTGGCGGTGCCCCAACCCTCTGATCAGCCCTGCTTTGTGGGTGATAGAGGGCGGCGCCCCAACCCCTGCCCCCCCCACCCATGGGCCCTGCTCTGTGTGTGATGGGGTAGAGCCATAACCACCCCATCGGCCCTGCCCTGAGTGTGACAGTGGCGGTGCCCCAACCCCCTGATCGGCCCTGCTCTGTGGGTGATAGAGGGTGGCACCCCAACCCCCTGATCCGCCCTGCTCTGTGTGTGACAGGGGGCGGTGCCCCAACTCCCCTATCGGCCCTACTCTGTGAGTGACGGGGGAGCTCCTCAACCCCCTGATGGGCCCTGCTCTGTGCGTGACAGGGGGGAGCTCCCCAACCCCCTGATCGACCCTGCTCTGTGCGTGACAGGGTAAGGAGCCCCAACCCCCCTGATGGGCCGTGCTCTGTGCGTGACAGGGGGCAGCGCCCCAACCCTCGATTGGCCTTGCTCTGTGCGTGACAGGGGGTGGCGCTGCAACCTCCCCATCGACCGTGCCTTGAGTGTGACAGGGGGCGGTGCCCCAACCCCCCAATCGGCCCTACCCTGAGCGTGATTGAGGGTGGCATCGCAACCTCCCGATCTGCCCTGCTCTGTGCATGACAGAGGGCGGCGCCCCTACTCCCCAATCGGCCCTGCTCTGAGCCTGACCAGGGGCTGCACCTAGGGATTGGGCCTGCCCTCTGCCACCCGGGAGCAGGCCTAAGCCAGCAGGTCGTTATCTCCCGAGGGGTCCCAGACTGCGAGAGGGCACAGGCCAGGCTGAGGGACCCCTCTTCCCCCCAAGTGCACAAATTTTTGTGCACCGGGCCTCTAGTCCTATATAATAAAACCCTAATATGCAAATTGACTGAACATGGGAATGACTGCTCGCTATGATGTGCACTGACCACCAGGGGGCAGATGCTCAATGCAGGATGTGCCCCTTGGTAGTCAGTGCACTCCCACAGGGGGAGCACCACTCAGCCAGAAGCCGGGCTCACGGCTGGTGAGAGCAGCAGTGGTGGCGGGAACCTCTCCTGCCTCTGCTGCAGGCGGGCAGTAAGGAACGAGAGGTCCTGGACTGCGAGAGCCCCAGACTGCGAGGGGAATGTTTGACTGCCAGCTTAGGCCAGATCCCCGGGGGAATCAGGTGTAAGCCAGCAGGCGGACATCCCCTGAGGGGTCCCGGACTGCCATAGGGTGCAGGCTGGGCTGAGAGACACCCCCCCCCCCGCCCCCCATGTACGAGTCTCGTGTACTGGGCCTATAGTTCAATATAAGAGCAAATGGTATTGAAGCAATGATATCCACAGGCAAG